CGGCAGAGGGATGGGCTGCGCTCCCAGCATCCACGTCTCGCAGAGCGGCGTGATCTACTGCCGGGACTCGGACGAGTCCAATTCGCCGCATCAGACCACCACCATCTCGCAGGGAACGGCCGCCACCTTGCACGGGCTCTTCATCAAGACTGACGCGGCCGACTCCATCCCTTCGGTGCTCGCCTACCAGAGCCGCCAGCCGCCGCCGCCGCCGCCGAACTGCCCGGCCTATCCGCGCAGGGAGGTCGGCAGGAGCGGGGGGCACCACTGCTGTGGCGTCGAGGCAGAGACCCAGACCAGCCAGAGTAGCGTTAAGGTAAGGACTGAGCTGCAGGTCTCTTCCAGTGGCTGGAAGACTGGAGCAGCCTTCCTCAACCTGGTTCCTTCCAGATGTGTAGGACCAGACTCCCTACAACTATCATCATCCTTCCCTGATATAACTGGGTGTAGGTCTGTGACTATCATGGGGATAATGGAAGTTGTAGTCTCACACGTTAGGAGGCCACCAGGAGGGGAAGGTCAGAAGGTCATGAGATTGGGTTGAAGAGGAAGAACCTCATGATGAAGAAAAGGAAGAGCTTTTCTGGCCTTCCACCACCAAAGACCACCTTTTCAGGCAACAGTGACCCTTTGAAGAAGTTATGGCAATGGAGATTTCTAACTAAGACCTGGCCCTGTGGTCCAAATAGTAGTTATCTTAATGGGACTGTTATTCCACAGAAGAAAAACTGGTTGGGCAAACCTTTTCCCCACATTTCCTCTCCAGTACCCATTAGCTCCTAGTCAGGAGTTATCCATTTGGGATAACCAGCCAAGCCAGATGGTTTCACTAGAGGCTCACTCTGTGGGTACCTTTGCCAAGTTCACCACCATTCTCCCTTTCATAACTAAGACTAGTTTTCCCCCATCAAAGACTCTCCAGTTGTGTTCATCTGCAGCTTTTGTTTTCAACATGGACTCAAGATCCAACACATCTGGCTTCAGGTGGGGAAAGGCTGGTGTAAAAGCCACTTCAGTCCTAAAAAGGAACATGTTTTATAGGAAGTGAGGTTCAAATGAAGTGTGTTGAGCTGGTTGACTTGAAATTCTCTTTAGGCTGATTAGTGCAGCCTCTTCATCTGTTTCCCAGGAGATGCGCACTGAGAGCCACAAAGAGACAAGAGAACTAAAGAAAAGGTAGAGTCAGTAGCAGCTCTGTGTTTTGTCTCCTACATGATGCTGCTTTGACTATCAGGTGCAAAGCCTCCCATGCTCCATAGGAGGTGATAGGGAAGGAGCATGAAGTTGAAGAGCAGAAATGCTGCTGCAGATGCACATGGGATGCAGCAGTTGCCATGGCATCCAATGACTTACTTCTCCAGGTTTTTCCTCTCTGCTCAGGTACAAGCACATTGGCCAATGCACTCTTCTGTACACTGGCAGGTGGCAGTAATGTTGAAATTCAGAGTTAAAGTTCTGTGCATTCCGGGAACTTCACTGTATTTACCTTTATCAATCCATGTGCTTTATACACAAGAACGTATCCTAAATGTGTCTTTATCTTAACGTACATACGCTACTGTGGAATATGAGTTAAAACAGAACTGCCTTATGAAAGCACAAAGTAAATAAAATCTCCCTTGAGTCTCCCTCAACTCAGGGTGATCACATGGACAAGTCTATGTTATTTTCTTAACAACAATAGAGAATACATGAACTCATTTAAGTTTGTGCGGGGATAAAGGATGTGTGTCTAACTCCTCCCACCAATTAAATATTCTAGATAATCAACAGGCAGAGCATTCAGCATTCCTGAAAAACTGACAGGTGTGAGTAGTCAGTGCTCAGAGAATGCTTACAACACTGGGAATCCATGGGATTTGGCAGGATTGTTGCAGTGATTATAAAAGAAGTGGGGAATCTTGTGCCCTTAGCCATGCTGGCTGGCACCAATTGGAATTGCAGTTCAAAATATTTGGATTTTGTTGCCTTTCTCTTGGTTAGAGTATAGAACTTGCACACAGGGCCCCTGCCTGTTCATGAAGTTTTACTGCATAAACCTGGAGTGGTTATTGCCTCTAAGCCCATCTTTCTTCTATTCTGATGTTTAAATGGGGATAACCACTTGTTCATTTCTTAGAACTCTTTGGTGGAATGGTAAGATAGAATTTTAAGAAATAAGGGCAGAAGTCAGTCATTTATATGTCTCTTTGGAATTTCTAGCTATTGCATCTTCATGAAATGAAGGGTAATAGCATATTTTAAAATAGGTATTGGAATAGAACTGAAAGAAAGGGAAAAAAAGATGCCTAACAAAAGCCAGCATGGCAGATCACCATTCACTAGATGATCCTTAAAAGGTATACTGAGGACTGAAATAAGCTACCTGACCCACAGGCATACATACAGTATGGACCAAATACAAAATGAATATGGGGATAGAAATTTGGAGGTGCTCAGAACTACTTTTCTATAATATTTTGGTACTTTTTCTGAGTAGAATTACAGTGGTACCTCGGGTCACGAACGCTTCTGTTCACGACCAATTCGGTTCATGAACAGCACCGTTCGCAAACTTTTGCTTCCGTTCGCGAACTCCGCATTGGGTGATGAACACGACCCGTGGCCATTTTCTCTGCTGACACACGTGGTTGTGGCTTCCTGTAGGGAGGGGGACTCTCCCTCCAAACAATAACCGCCTCCCCACCCACCTTCCTGTCCTCCACGCCAGAAGTCGCCTCAAGCAAGGTTAGCGTTCTCTCTCTTCGTACTGTACTGTACTGTACTG